GTTTCTTCCAAATGATTCTGTAAGTTACGAAATAAATGATAGTCTGAAGGAGCAAGATTGGGAGAATAAGGTGGATGAGGAATTTTCTCCCAACCAAGTTCTTCGATCTTTTGTGACGTGATTCTTGCTGTGTGGGGTCGCGCATTGTTCTGATGAAACATCACCCCCTTTCGATTCACTAGAGCAGGTCTTTTTTTCCTCAAAGCTTGGTTCAAACGCTCTAATTGCTGACAGTATATTTGAGCATTAATTATTGCATTAGGTGGTAAGAATTCAAAGTGGATTATTCCTTGGCGATCCCACCAGATTGAAAGAAGAACCTTTTGCCCATGAAGTTCCCTTCTCGGCTGTGGCTGGGGTCCTTCCCCTTTACCAAGTCACTGTCTACGACACTTAACATTTCGATAAAAGATACATTTTTCGTCGCCAGTCACAAGTCTATCTAAAAAAGGTGAAACAAGTTGTCGAGAATGGAGAGAAGAGCAGATGTCAACTCGGGATTTGAGTTTGTTTTTAGACAATACATGAGGCACCCATTTTCCAAGTTTAGGAACTTTTCCAAGTTGTTGAAGATGACGATGAACAGTTGTATGGTTTGAACTGAGAACCACTGCCAATTCCTCAACTGATAAAGCAGGATTTTCTTCAAGGGCTGCTTCAAGAAGCTTTTCATCAAACTCAACTTGACGTCCGGTTCGGTCTTCATCTTCAAGGGTGAAATCTCCACCTCTGAATTTTGCAAACCATCTTCTGCAAGTTCTTTTATTCACACATTCTTCTCCATAAACTGAGTGAATGTTTCTAGCCGCTTCGGCTGCTGAGTTTGCTTTCTTGAACTCATAAAGCATTATGTGCCTCAAATGATTCTTGGGTACTTCCATGTTAGCAGTGTTTTAATCAAACAAAATTTAATTTTATTGTTCTCTGAAATAAAATTTGATCAGTTTAAATGCATCTAAACATAAAAATAATGTTCAGCTCCATTAGACCTTATAAAATACTCTTTAAATTTCGTTCATTTTAACAAAAAGTTAAAATTCAGACAGAACTTATGGGATGACCTGATACTGAAGATCCAGAAAAAGGCAGTTGATTGATAGATTTGATTTTACGGTTTATCAAACATTTGTAGCTAGAAAATACGTGACTCTCTTGCAACAACAACAACAGCAGAAACAGCACTAATAATAATAATAATAATAATAATAATAATAATAATAATGTGCTAAGTGTATTCATAGAAGAGTGGGTGTCATGATGGGTATAATGAACTTTGTATTTTTCTACCTCAACGTCATTTTAATATATTTTTTGAATTGAATTTAATGAAAATTTTTCCTTTGAACATTATAAAATTATCAACAAGTATACATAAATATTATTATTATTATTATTATTATTATTATTATTATTATTATTATTATTATTATTATTTCCTTTGATTTCTGGCGTGTACTCGTTTCTTTCCGAGTCCCGACCAGTGACTAAGGTCAGAAATGGTATCATGACATTTTCCACTGAGCAAATTTTGAGAAAAATATCACACATACTTTACATAGATAAAGTTCTTCATAAAGGTGTTCGTTAGAACATTATTATTATTATTATTATTATTATTGAGTAAGAGAGCAGAATGTCAACAATGTAATTTTAAGATATAAATACATTCATGTTTTTTTTAAACTGAGTTTAATGAACATTTTCTCACGTGTGCATTATATAATAATAATAATAATAATAATAATATTTGTGTATGTTATGTTTCCAGCTTTGTATCCTGTAAAGCCGGGTCCAAACTATGGTCCTTAGACACTATAAGAGAACTGTCATTTAATTGATAGCACTTATCTTAGTATATGTGATGTTCCTTGTAGGGCAACTTGTATGTTGATGTAACCTGGGATACTGTTAGTAGAATTGTCCATTCCTTTTCTCACAAGGCCCAGTGCTCCGATTACTATTGGTACAGTTTTAGTCTTCATTCTTTACATCTTGTTAATCTCGATCTCCAGGTTCTTGTATTTGGACAATTTCTTAATAATTTCATGAAGATGTTTCTCTCGGAGGTTACTGCTATGTCAATAAGGATACAGTTCCTGAATTTCTTGTATTCTATGATAATATCAGGCGTGTCGGATTTTATTTCCCCGTCAGTCTGAATTGGCATATCCCAGAGGATAGTTGCATCGTTATTTTGGATAACCGTGTCTGGTTGGTGCTCGTACCATCTCTCAGTGGTTTCGATTTTCTGCTTCTTGCATATCTTCCGGTGCACATATTTTGCTACCTTGTTATGTCTCTGGGTATATTCCTTTATTTGCCAGTATTAGACATCCTGAGATAATATGGTCGACAGTTTCGTCATATTTTCCGCAGCTTCTACATTTCGGGTTAGTTCCAGACTTGCAATAATTAGGCCTTCTGTCTCAGTTTTCAACGCAGCGACTGATGTGTTTTCTGTTGATCCACAGCTTTTTCTTTCGTTCTTTTCAGGTATTTGCCATGCAATACCTTGTCCTCCCAGTTTTTTTGTACTTTTATTTGGCCAAGTTGTTTTGCTTTCTGTTTTACTCGTTTTGCGTAGATGGTATTCGCTTTGTTTGTTTTTTTTTTTTTTTGTTTGTTTTTTTTTTTGTTGGTAAGGTTTCGGGTGTAATAAACTTTTCTCGATGAGTACAACTTCTTTGTTGATGGAGTGCATTTGGTGTTTTACTATTTGAAGGAGAAGGTCGTTGGTTTTTGTGAGGTGTGTAATTGTAGTTTTTTTAATAGTTAGTCCAAGTTGGATTAGATCTCGTCCTCCTAAAACTCTTGGTACGTACAGTCTATCAACATCTGATTTGAGTTGGCCCATCCTCATTTGGTTAACCATTTTTCTGGTCTTGGCGTTAAATCTTTTAATGTCATTCAACTTCCATTTAATAATGTTGAAGCTGTATGTTACCACGGGTATAGCTAAGGTATCGATAGGCTGTATTTTATTGGTCCCATTTAGTTGGCTTTCTAGTAACAAACCCACTCTCTTATAATATTCTTTTCGGGTCTTTTTCTTTATAATTAAATCTTGTATTCCGTCTCCTTCATTAATTCCTAAGTATTTGCATGTACCATCTTGGCCTAGTTCCATAATCTTGTTGTTGATATCAAGTCTAAATCTGTAGTTTTCGTTAGTTTGCCGCCTTTGTATGTGGCTTTGGCAGATTTGTCGATTTGGAACTCAATCCTAATGTCTTCGCTGAAGTTTTGACAATGGTGAGTTGGTTTTCCTGCTGCTTGGCAAACGTTTTAAGACCCTTCTCACTTGTGGAACTCTCTTCCGACTCAATGCTTTCCAGTTACCTTTGATCTTCAAAAAATTAAATACGATGTCAATCGCTGTCTACTGCTCTCCTGATTAATTTTCGTTTGTTTTCGGTCATTAGTAATGTTTCTGTTTTCTAATTCTTTCACTCAGTAACTCAGTGTCTTAGTGGCTTTATTGCCTTGCTTAGGCTGAGCCCGCTTCAAATAAATAATATAATTAAGTCATTTGATGAAAGGCTTTGAAAGAGATAACAATCATTCAATTAAAGTCACGCTAAAATGATTTAACAATAACAATCGTAAACAGTTTCAGAATATATTAAAATAGTAACAATAATGATGAAATGTGATAATTTTCATATCATTATTTTCTAATTATTATAATATTTTAATAATCATAAATATAGTCGTGACAGTTTTAATGGAATGATGCCATAATAAAATACAAGAGATCCATTTCCAAATTTTAAGCCTTTCTTTATTCAAATTGCATTAAATAAAGTGAAGTGATTTTCTTCGACAAATTGCAAGAAAGTAATTTTAAAAAATGCAGTCATTCTTTTGTTGCTTTATAGAAAATCAAATAATAAAAAAAGAAATCGAAAACTTTTTGTAAAAAACAATTTTGTAAAACTATAGTACATTATCATTTTCACCATTTTTCACCATTTGGGATTTGGTTTGAATCCATTAAAAGTGCTAAAGAAAAGTGAAAAGGAAAGATTATAAGAAAGCAAGCAAAACAAAAGAAATGCTCAGAAATAAGTAAAAACGAAATAGAAAGAAAGCGGAAAAGAATGAAGAAAGAAACTGAAAAAAGAAGAGTCCAAAGTAGGTAAAAAAAAAAAGGTAGCGAAAGAAAGAAAAGCAGAAAAATTAAAGAAACGAAAAAAAGAAATCAAAGCCGAATAAAGGTAAAAATTAATGGTTCCGAAATGGACGGAGAAAAATGAAAAAGAGGAATAAAAAATAGAAATAAAAGGGAAGTAAAGAAAGAAATGTTCAAAAATAGGTAAAAATGGAAGAGAAAGAAAGAAAAGAGGAAGAATGAAAAAATAAATAAAAGACAAATAAAGAAAAAAAGAAAGAAAAAGGATCACAAATGCGTAAAAAGAAATAGAAAAGAAAAAAGGAATAGAAAGCAAAAAGAGAAGGAATGAAGAAAAAACGAAAAAAAAAAAAACAGCAGACGATTAATGAAAGAAAGAAAATTTTCAGAAATTGTTGAAAACGAAAAAAAAAAAAATGAATGGAAATGAAAAAAAGAAAGGAAGAATAAAAAACGAAAAAAGAAATAAAAGGCGAATAAATAAATAAAGACGATGCAGAAATCGGTAAATAAGAAATAGAAAAGAAAAAAAAAAGGAATAGAAAGAAAAGTGGAACGAATAACAAAAGAAACGAAAAACGAAATAGAAGGCGAATAAAGAAAAATTCAGAAATGTTTAAAAATGAAATAGAAAATAAAAAACGAATAGAAAGTTAGAAAACAGGAAATGATGAAGAAAGAAACGAAAAAGAAGAAAATGAAACAAAGAAAAGAAAAGATCCAGAAATATTTAAAAAAAGATATAGAAAATAAATAGAAAAAAAGAGGAAAGAACGTTAAAATAAATGAGAAAGAAATAAAAGGCAAATAAAGAAAGAAAGTTTTAGAAATAAATAAAACACGAGTAGTAAAGAAAAAGTAGGCATCAATGATCAACTATAGGCACACCTCTGCCACTCCCAGGGGAACTGATGCAGAAGCTACGAGGCGGATACGAAGATTGAACTTGCTGATGCCTACAACCAGATCAAGCTTGCACCAGAAAGTCAACACAGAGTAGCCCGCAAAACTCACCGTGGATTACTCCTCCAGCAACGACTCCTATTTTAAATCAAGTCATCATTTGATTACTTCGAAATCACGGAGAAACTAACTGCCTGGAGTTGCCGTCTTCCAAGACGATATGCTTGTCAGCGGGAAAAGACATCAATGATTACTTAAACAAACTGAGGCGTTTATTTCTTTGGTTGAACGACAAAGGACTCAGGTGCCATCGTGAAAAGTGCCTGTTCGTCTTACCCAGTGTAAAGTATCTTGGCCACACGTTATTATACGAAGAAATCGCGCAAGGATCCAAGGTCGCGGTAGTCATGAAGATGCCACCTCCTATGGACGTCTTAAGCATAAAGTCTTTCTTAGGTACGATTCAGCTCTACGGGAAGTTCATCCCAAACCTGACCACTATGGCCAAACCACTTTGCCATTTAAGCAAGAAAGCAACACCCTGGGGGGATGAAGAACAACCTGTATTTGAACAGTTGAAAAATGCATTATTTTCAGATTAAGTCCTTGTACATTTTAACCCAAACAAACCTCTTGGACTGGCTTGTGACGCATCCATCGTTGAAATTGGTTCAGTTTTATTTCATTGCTACCCGGCTGAAAGCGAGCGCCTAATTGCCAACGTGTCCAAGACTCACTACCTAAATCTGGACGGACTTCTGTTCATACTAGCTACTGATCATAACCTATGACGGCACTGTCCGGCTCTAAGAGAGAGACGCCACTACCCGCAACCAAGCGACTAGCTCGATGGCCCCTGTGGCTAAACTATTTTGACTAGACAATCGAGTACCGGAAAACATGAATGTTACTCGCTTACTCGCTTGCTATCTGGAGACGACAACAACTTCGACAGGGAGGAAAGTGGAGACGGCATGGGCATGGTGTGCACCATCAAGGTTCTCAGTCTTCAAGTCAAACCTGTAAAAATATATGACAAGATTATATTTGACTTTAAACTTGAAGCGGTTAAGATTGTAGTGATCGAGGAAGCATCCACTCGGGAGTCTGTTACACAAAGTAACTGTTATATACCGTAGCTATGGACACTAATGGGTATGTCCCAATCCTCATAAATACGTTGGACACTTTTGTAAGTGTGGGTAATGTGCTGTCTGATTAGTCTACCACTAGCAGTCGTATATTTTGTTGATGTTATAAAGATTGCCATTTCATTTTCCAACATCCGTTCTGGTTATTACTTCTTCAGTAACCCGATAAATATATCCAATATTGATGAGAGTTTCTTAACGTATTCATGAACAGAGTTCCAAAAATGGGATATAAATTAAAATCAACTGATTCTTTTTTATATCATGGCTTCTTAGGGATTCCATGGATACGTTTCAGAGATCTGTGAGATAAAATTAACATTTATATTCGCTATACAGCTCTTGTCCCAATCAACCGCTTCTCATTGAAAGAAATAAAAGAAATTCCTTCCTACCACTGATTGAAATAAAACCAACCCAATCATAGCTTACAGTGCCGGCCGCTAAGTGTATCTTGACCTGCTGTGAGTCCATGTTTACTATACAAACGTGTCATCATTCTTAGTACGACCGCCATCTTTTGTCACTCCATAAGAGCAAGTGATAATTTTCATTTTCCACATTTTATCGCGGCTTGATTATTTTCTCATATACTGGTGAGGATTAATTGACCACAATTTCTTTCAAGCGTGGCTGGCTGAGAAGTGATGTTTGTGCAGTGTGCAGGAGGTTGCAGTGTGGAGAAATTCGGGTACAAGTGTTGCGAAAAAACAATCAGACTGTGAGTATCTCCTTGTCTGTCTGTTTATGAAGGTGATAGTTGTTATAGAGGTCCGTAACTCAAGGGATCTGTGACTCAAGGGATCCGTGACTCAAAAAAGGTGATGTACCACTGTTTTATTTACATTATCTATTCAGGACGTTGGTGATCATGGCTCTCTCATTGTTTGCTCTTAGTAACTTTTGGCTCTTAACTAGCCCTCTTTGCTTTTGTTAGTTACTGTTTCCTTCAATATGTAGTCAACGGCCAGGTTAACTTGACGTGATGTCTCAATAAATCACCGTGGAGAATCAATCAAAAAATATCACTTTTTGCTCTTAGTAACTTTTGGCTTTTCACTAGCCCTCTTTGCTTTTGTTATTTATTGTTTCTTTCAATATGTAGTCAACGGTCAGGTTAACTAGACGTGATGTCTCAATAAATCACTGTGGAGAATCAATCAAAAAATATCATGGCTTTTAAAAATCAAATCATAACAGAGTGGTGGGACATGATGAAGGGACATGGCACTTAACGTGAATGGTCTCTTTCTTCATTGTGACTATGAAATTTCAATTGTCTTTTCCTGTCTGTAAGTATTTCCTTCTTCCTTGTCTTCTTCTGGGTCCCTACAGAACGTTAGGCGATCATAGCTCTCCATAATTTCCATATCTCTTATGGCCCTTACCAATATTTTCTCCCTTTGTCAAACCGCCCTCCCTCGTTCCACCATTCATTCACACAAATTCATCAAATAAGTGGTCCGATGCCTTTCTCTGTCTTTTTTGGCTTCGTGAGGGTTAAGTTCTCCAAGCCCTCATTCCTCGTTGTGTACAAGAAATTTCATCTGTCTCATTCTGATTCTTTGCACTTCTAAGACTTCTTCCTTTCTTAAACGTTCTGTCTTTGGAATTCTCAGCATCTTTCTGTAGAACGATATCTATCTTTCCTCCAATTTTATCTTCATCTATGGAGAGATGGTCCAGCATTGACAACCATATAAGAAGATGAATATCACATAGCAATCCAACAGTCGTTTCTTTGTTTTCTAACGGAATCTTCCGAAATGTATCATTCGCTGTTGTCCTCTCTTCCTCGTTTCTCAAATATTCGGTCCTTGTTATTGCAAGCATTCCTCATTTGAAATACATCTCTGCCGATTGAAACGTCTTCTTTGACTGTAAAGAAATCGTTTGGCATTCAATAACAATTAAATAACAGTTTAGCACGGATGGATTTCCATAAACTAATCATGGACAAACTACGATACACGGGCCGCAATGCTACCTGTTCGGCTCTTGGAATGGCACCCGTAATTGCATGGGGAAAATAACGTTTGCACTGCTTACATTATTCGGATTGTCGTTTTCAATTTTTTTTTGTTATATTCACAATGTTTCGGCCGTCGTACGCTCCGGTTTTCCTCAGGATCTGACTATATTTCTGAGATGAGGTATTGTAAAGATTTACATTGTTTGGACTGTGGACATATTCACGACGATTCAGCCGTTATACGCTCCGACTTTCGTCAGGAGTTATCTATATTTATGAGATGAGGTGTTGTAACTATTTACATTATTTACATTGTTCGGACTGTTGTCCTCAGCTTTAGTGTCATATTCATGACGTTTCGGCCGTTGTACGTTCCGGCCTTCTTCAGGATCTGGATCTGTGTATCCTCTGTGGCAAAATCGGTTAAAGGCATGTCAAGCTAAATGACGGTTCCGTATAGGATACAGGTTCGAATCCTGTCGTAGGACGAATATTTTCTGTGAAAATTTTTCGGACATTCAGGCCGGTAAATGTTCAATACTATTTATTATAAACGGAGCATTTACTTAAATACTTGTATCTATAAAAATAATGTATAAACATAAAAATGTCTTAAAAGATCTTATATATAAACATTTTTTTCTTTCGAATTTGAAAACTTTCATAATAGTCTTTTTGCTCTCTGGAGTAGAAAAATATTTTTAAAATATCTTTTATATACCCGAAGGAATAAATTCGAAACTAATCAGACACTCACTAGCGTGTGTTAATCAGACTATTACCAAATATAATCCTATACTAACTCTTTAATCTTTTAATTATCGAAAAATACTTGCTTTCAAGATGTCTCGTAAGTGTTAAATTCTTCAGAAATTCCTTCTTCATTGTTTCCAGGGAATTTCAGTTCTCTCTTTTTGATTTTAAGTATAAGCATCCTGCGAATAAGAAAAAATATACAGGAACGAAGATAGAAAAAAATGAGCAAGAGAAAAAGGATGAAAACAATGAAAGAAAAGATAAAATTGAAAGAAAGGAAGAGTGATAAATGAATAAAACCAGGGCAAAAGAATAGGTGAAAAAGATGAGGTTGAAATGACGAGTACAATGAATAGAATAGTCCGGAAGAAAAGAAAAAGAAAAAGAAAAACTTTATGATCTAAATTCTTAGAGGCAATAATAGTCGATTAAACACGACTAAAATACAATCGTACTTTGGGTAATTATAGGTCTTAAGTCTTTTAAAAAAATTCTTTTAAACATTTCTCTGAAATGATATTCATAACAAGAAGCTGATAAGAGACAGAGAAGTTCGAGTCGGGAAACAATCACGTTTCCCTTGTGTTTTCACTGTTCTTAGTCAAAATACAAATAAAAAAAAAAGAAAAAAGATTTAAAAGAAAACTTTTATAAAATAAAGAGCTTTCTTTTCAGGAAATGGGAATTCTACGTGAATGATACAAAATATTGTAAAGATGTATTGAAGCTAAGTGGAATTTTATGAATAGGGTGGGGAGGTGGAATGGAATATAAACGAATGAGTGTCCATACATGGGTGTAGGGAAAGATGGGTGCGTGTTTTCTTCCGGGAATAGGTCAATCAATATGTTTTCTGACACATAATTACCTGATATCTGATCTAAAATATTCAATGTATAGTGTACAAATCTACGTGATTGATATTCAGTATTAAATTAGTCTTGTAAGGAAAATTCGTTTTGCAAAAGAAATGCGTATTTCATAATTAGGCTATAAAATTATTGATATACCTAACTACCTACATATATACACACACACAAAATGCAGATCAGTTAGATAAAAAAAACAACTCGAGGTAAGGTAAGGAGCTATAACAAGGAAAATTTGTTTTGCAAAATAAATTTGTATTTCATAATTAGGCTACAAACTACATGATTAGGATATTGATAAAACTACTTATCTACCTATATATATATATATATATATATATATAGTCTTAAGATGTGCTATATTTATGGGATAAAGTTCTCAATATCAGAGATAGAGCGTGTGTAAATATAAAAGTGAACAGTGAAGTCAACACTTAGAGGTGACAGTCGGTTTCATCCTAGACGCAATCGTCAGGCCACCCGATGGCCTGACGATTGCGTCTAGCATGAAACCGACTGTGTGTGTGTGTGTGTGTGTGTGTGTGTGTGTATTTAGGCAGCAATTTCTCTTTAGTTATGTCTGATTGAATAAATTACAAACATTGACCTCTATTTTATTCGTGAATATGTAAGTATTATGATGAAAATAGGCAGACATAAAGTTTTTAATTTATTCAATCAGACATATATATATATATATATATATATATATATATATATATATATATATATGTATGTGTGTGTGTGTATTTAGGCAGACAATTCTCTTTTAAGCAAGTCTGATTAAATAAATTACAGACATTATGTCTGCTGATTTTTAACAAAATCCGTTCATACTCACGAACAATTAAATGATTTAAGAAATATGCTATAACTATTAAAATCGTTTTTAGTTTTCATTTCATAAGTACTTTTAATCTTCTTCCGATATCATCTTCAAGGGTGTACGTAGTAATACAAAAATGTGAGTTGTTTACACTGCATGACTACCAAACGTTGCATTTGAAAGGAAAAAGTAAAATTACAGTAATGGATATCAAAAAGAGTTGTGTATTACTACTTGTATCTGTGAACAACACACAGTTTTGTATTACTACACACACACACCGTGAAGATGATCTCGAAAGAAGATCGAAAGTACTTGGGAAATGAAAAATAAAAACGATTTTCATAGTTATAGCATATTTCTTACATCATTAATTGCAATACACGGAAGGTTATCCGTGAGTATGAATGGATTTTATTAACAATAAGCAGACATAATGATTATAGTTTATTTAATCACACACACACACACACACACACACACACATATATATATATATATATATATATATATATATATGTATGTATGTATGTATGCACATTTCATTGAATACGACAGACAAGGTGCTTTGATTTAGTTTTTTTTTATACAGTTTCTCATAATTTATTTCTTTTCAATTGCTAAATTATATAAAAACTATCCGAATATTCTTTTTTTCCAACCGCTTTCGGCGATACATTTAGCAATTTTCAAGGATGAAATATTTTAATTTAATATTGGAAAAAAAATACTAGATCACATGAGAAATATATATATATATATATATATATATATATATATATATATATAGGTGTGTGTGTGTGTGTGTGTGTGTGTGTTTGTTTGTGTGTGTGTGTGTGTATAATTGTGTATTTGGGCAGCAGTATTATTATTTAATTTTTTATGTATTCTCATAATTTTCTTCTTTTCTGGACGTAAATTCTACAGAAATCGTCCAAATGTTTTCTATGTCCGAGCGCTTTCGGCTATACTTTTAACGATTCTCAAGAATAAATTTTAGTTTTACTTTTAACTAAATGTATGGATTGTTTTATGTATGTATCTAGAGTTATAGTAATGTTTTATTTTCCAAACACGGTCAGCACATTGTGACCGTGTTCATAGTCGATATTATTGAGTGTTGGCTTTTCCTTTTTTATCAATAATACTATCATTATTTTAGCCCTTTTTTTTTTTTACATGTGTATTATCAGCAAATATTGCTTTATATATGTAAGTGCATAATAATTCTAGTTTGTCCCTGTGGGATTCAGATGATAATGTATAATGTGTGTGGGTTGCATATTTAGTGGCCATTATGTTTGTTGGTTTTTCGCATGTTGATTTTGGAACGTTATATTCTTTAAGAATGAATTTGATAAAGGTTGGTGATGTGACATAATGTTTTTGACGTGTGTTGGTAATATTGTTATTAATAATTCATCGAAGTACTTTCTACGTAAAGATTTATGTTCACTTTTAATTAGGATGGCATTTCTAAAACCAAAGATATAGCCAGTTTTGTTCCTGTGTATTACGAGGGAGTTTCAATGGTTGTCTAAACGTAAATATATTTTGTGTTCGTAGATACCGGCTTTTAGATCCCATGATGCCTCTCCGACATAAATGCTTTTACATTGTAAGTAATTTATTTGATAAGTACCATATGAATTGGTGCTGGATTTATTTCTCTTCCTAATGATCTCTCCGATTGTCTTGGACGTGGTGGTATATCCTAGTATTAGGGATAACTAATTCATTTATACTAGGATCTTTACAAGTGTACGTGTGTGTGACTGTATATTTTTATATGCCTGCTTCATAATTATTATATAAGTGACAGGTCCAATTCAACAGGTCATGTTCGGGAAGAAAGCTTTTGGTTTATTTAAATAACGAAGAAATGAATACGCGTCATATCGATCCTGTGAATACATGGCAATCATCTCTCAGATCAAGAAGAGAAACAGAAATGTGATTCTACAGAAGGATGCTGAGAATACTAAACACTGAACCCGTGAACAACGACGACGTTTTCGAGAAAATGGAAACAAAAAATACACTTATACTTACAATCAGAAAGAAGCAATTGAAATTTCTAGAGCATCTAAATGAGAAAAGAAGACTTGGAAAATTTAACAGAACATATGGAAGACAAAAGGGTTGGTTCGTTGTTTTTGTTTAGCGGGATATCAACTTCTATGGGCAAGTCTGATTGGGGGCCCCGAGGAGTGCTTTGTGACATTCGCTGGCTCATCAATATTTGCGTTTTTTCTACCTACATTTAAATACGTTAGAAATTCAACTAAGCTCAACTGGCTATTAGGGGATGAAACATTTTCGGATTTTGACGTCATCGTGGATTTGTTTTTTTTTTGTTTTTTTTTGTCCAAATCCTTGAATTTTTGTTAATGCTAATTCTCGGAAAAAAATATCACTATATAAAATTCATTATTTTTTATCCATAATGTTGAATTTGTTAAAATTATTCAACGTGTTAACAAAAAAAAATCTTAATTTGATATTAAAAATTGCCACAAAACATTGTTGATTTATTTAAGATGGAATGATCTATTATGACATACCATATTTGTATTTAGATACATTGTATTTATTTTTAATTTTTCTAGTTCAACTGTACACATATATTGCATAGGAATCATTACTGTACATAATTACGCTACAATAAAATCTGTACTTTATGTGAATACACCCTTATAAAAATTGAGACGTAGTAGAGTCGGGTGCCGTATCATAGATTCTGGAGGCACGAGTCCCTTGCACCAACCCTGGTAAGGGAACAAGCATTGTTAAAAGCTAGGATAGGAGGTTGTGGAGAGTCATGATCATTGACGATTTGAAGAAACGCATCAAATAAACGATAGAAGTTATTGGAAATGCATTGAACTGGGTAAGATATTTTCCGCCTCTCCATCATGATTCGCAAAAGGTGAGGTGGGGGGAGGGATAAGCATTGCTAAGAGCTAGGATAGGAGATTGTGGAGAGTCATGATTCCATCCTTATTCGCGAAACGTGTGGAACCGCTAAATGGTGCTCAGCTCTCATTCAGAAACTTTTAGGAACTTTCAAAGTGCTGTTTTATTATGTTTCCGAGAAGCGCATTCACCTCCTCCCATTTTCTCTTTCGCAAATTGTTTGACCTCCACACCTCGCCATCCTTCTCTTAACCCACTCCAGTCAAAAAGTTTTATTAAGGAATTGAAAGAATAAATAAAATAGAAGTAATAAACAATGGAGTCGTCTACTCAAGGAAAATTTCAAACATTTCTTTGTTCGCAGCCAACAAAGATGAGATCATCCATTTTTTTTTTGTGTTTGCTTTATATCTCTCTTCCTTCTCATCTTCATTTTTCTTTCTTTCTTTTAAGAATAAAATCTAGTTGAGATTTTATTCCCAAAAGCGTATTATTTCCTTCTGAATTTCTTTCTTTGAGAATTTCTTTCGTTTTTTTTTTTTTTTGAGAAATATCTTTCTTATGGTTTGTTTTTGTTTCATTGGAAATTTATTTTCTTTTAAGAAATATCTTTCTGTCGTTTTGAAATGTTTCTTACTTTATAAAATTTCGGTCTTCTTTTGAAAAATTTCTTTCTTTACAATATTCATTTCTTTCGTTCTTTCTTTTAAAATCTAGCGACAGGATTCTTTCTTTCTTTCTTTTCATCGTTTATTGTCAGCTTATCTTTTCTTTTTCGCAATTTTCCTGGTTTTCGTTTGGCCCTAATTGTCTGTCATTTCCTTTCTTTCTTTCTTTTTTTCTTTATTTCTCTTCCTTGTAGTTTCTTCTTTCTTTCTTTCTTTTTTCTTTCTTTCTTTCTTTCTTTCTTTCTTTCTTTCTTTCTTTCTTTCTTTCTTTAAACGTTCGTTACTAACTTAACTCTTATTTCGCATACTTTTCTTTCTTTCTTTTGCATTTTGCTTTCTGTAATGTTCTTTCTCTTTCATTCATACACCCATCCGTCCATTCGTTCTTTCTTTCGTTCTTTCCTTCTTCTGCAGTTTCTTTCTTTCTTTCTTTCTTTTTTCTTTTTTTCTTTCTTTCTTTAAACGTTCGTTACTAACTTAACTCTCATTTTGCACACTTTTCTTCCTTTCTTTTGTCCTTTGCTTTCTGTAATGTTCTTTCTCTCTTTCATTCATACACCCATCCGTCCATTGTTTTTCCTTTCTTTCTTTCTTTCTTCTTTTTTCTTTCTTTCTTTCTTTCTTTCTTTCTTTCTTTCTTTCTTTCTTTCAACATGATAATGATCACTGCCACTACCACCACTACCACCATTACAACGGCAAAAACAACGACTACAACAATGGTGGCATTAACAATAATATCAGCAGGAGCGAAGAAATACTCTTAAAATTTAACAATAAAGAACTTAAAAAAGAACGGATTTAAGAAAAAAAGATATTTTTAAAAAAATCTAATGAAAATGAAACATCGTGATAATGGAAAGTTCTTTTCTTCGATAGTCGTTCTGCCAGGTCAAATGTACCATACCCTTAAAATACATCGCCTCTACTACCCTACCTGGCCCCACTTAAGTGATATTCAACGTCTGGGGTTCAAAATAAGTTTGTGTACGTGTGATTATGGGTGGGGTATAGTCGCTGTAGAACAATGTCCTCTCAAGGACTCTGTGTTGCTTGATTTGTTATCTGAGTGTTTTTCACTGTTAGAGGAAATGGGTTTCGATACCTGCGGTTGGCTCCCCCACCACCTTATTAGCCTTTCTTTTCTTTTCTATTCTTTTTTATTCTTTTCTTTTTTTTCTTTCTTTCTTTCTTTCTTTCTTTCTTTCTTTCTTTCTTTCTTTCTTTCTATGTTCATCGCCTTACTTTCTACTTTTTATCGTTTTCCGATTTTCTGCTGCATCCGCTCCATGTCAGCCTTTTCTGCTTTTGTTTGTTTGTTTGTTTGTTTGTTTGTTTCTTTCTTTCTTTTTCTTTCTTTCCTTCTTTCTTTCTTTCTTTCTTTCTGTTTCTTTCTTTCTTTCTTTTTCTTTCCTTCTTTCTTTCTTTCTTTCTTTCTTTCTTTCTTTCTTTCTTTCTGTTTCTTTATTTCTTTCTTTTTCTTTCCTGCTTTCTTTCTTTCTTTCTTTCTTTCTTTCTTTCTTTCTTTCTTTCTTTCTGTTTCTTTTTTCTTTCTTTCTTTCTTTCTTTCTTCTTCAGTTTGTTTCTTTCTTTCTGTTTCTTTTTTTCTTTCTGTTTCTTTCTTTCTTTCTGTTTCTTTTTTTCTTTCTTCTGCAGTTTTTCTTTCTTCTTCTTCTTTCTTTCTTTCTTTCTTTCTTTCTTTCTTTCTTTCTTTCTTTCTTTCTTATATTCTCACTCTCTCTATCCGTTTTATCCTATGTAAACTGAACAGTGGTACACTGGTTTCACTCCGCAGCCCAGATCTTGGAATGATACGTCTTGTTCTTATTTAGTACCGCTAAGTTACTAGTCACTTAGTACGTTCAATCCGCTGAACGCAATTATTATGTCATCAATTTCACGAACCGACTCTTATCCGTTCGGCTACTGTCGAAATTCTCTGGTAGAAGTTTACTGAATGCCGCTGTTTTATGGATGTAATAACTCTAGACTATGGGGACATGTAGAATAATTGGAGTGGTCGAGGGAGTATTCCCTGCGGAGCTTGTTTCACGAAATAGCAGCTATTGAGAAGAAGTTGGCATAATGAGGAGGAAATTTGTCCGAATGTAATAACATTAACTCCTCATCACAGAAATTTACACAGAAATTAAGAATCGATAGTATCGAATTTGTAAACATTGACTACTACTGCTAATACTGCAATGCTCTTTTATGAATTGAGCCCTCTCGGTCATTGGCGTGTTTATTCGAAGAATAAGTACGTAAAAATCCGCCTTCAATTTCTATCGGGCGCTAATAGCTCAGGGCTAAAATCGCCGACTGATGCCAAATCAATCAGATTTCGATCCTTTCGATCGGATATTTAGCCACACTGTCTGTCTGTGGATGTCAATATATATATATATATATATATATATATATATATATATATATATATATATATATATACAAAGAGTTAATCATACCTTGAATCATTTAGCAATATTAATGCAATTATTGGTGAAATCCTTTGCTAGCAGACATAATTATAAGCATTATACTACTAATAATCCACTGAATGATGAGATCCTTATGTATAAAATGAATATGGTGTATTTTTTAATTCACATAGTACTTTCGAGTGCTTCACGCATTCATCATCTATTTTATTATATATATATATATGTGTGTGTGTGTGTGCGTTTGTGTGTGTGTTCGTATGTGTATTGTGTGCGTATATATATTATGTGTGTGTGTATAAAAGTATAAACTGAGGTTGTTGGGATGTCGGTTTACCCGACTTTTACACACACATACACACACACATACACACACACATACAACGAAAAGGAAGATAATCAAGCTATATATGACACTAACATTTATACAGTAGATACATCTATTTACATGTTTAAAATAAATGTTTTTTGTTGTAGCTATGAGGATCTCCTCATAGCTACAATAGTTCAATGTGAATTTTTGCAAGTTATTTCGTTGCGAATGAGTCTGCAAAGTTCGAAGCTGTTTTGCTGCAAGCGTTTCAGCAAAATTTCGAAGTTATTTTGCTGCACGTACTCTGAAAAACTTTGAAGTTATTTTGCTGCACGTGGGTTTGCAAAGTTTTGAAGTTATTTTGCTGCATGTGAGCCTGCAAAGGTTCGAAGTTATCTTGCAATGCGTCTGCATAGTTTCGAAGTTATTTTGTTGCAAGCGTGTCTTCAAAGTTAGAAATTATTTTGTTGCAAGTGAGTCTGCAAAGTTTGAAGCTGTCTCTGTTTAATTTTATCTTTTTACATTTTCCCAACCTCCGAATCATGTCGAATCTACATCTCGAAGATGTACATAAACTGTCCGAAGTTCACATTGTATTATTGTTTTGTTCAAGTACTTTAAACAGTCATAGTCATTAACAAGAACCAACGATGTGCCTGAGTGATAGTCATAATTCCTTTGTCTACATCCTGGTATTCTTTTTGAAGCTGGAAATTTGATATTATCTAACGTGACGTCATGTGTAATGGTTATTAGGAACGACGCTGCACAAAAAGAATGTAATTTCTTTTTTATTTTAATTTATTTTATTATTTTTTATATGTTTAATGATTTTTTATTTGTTGATAATTTTTTTTATTTCTTTGTATTGTCGCATACTAATATAATATAAGCGGATATTTTTTATAGCATATGCTCTTCAAACTCGCGTCTCTTGCAGTGATTGTATTTTATATTATGAGAGCTGTTTAATTTGTATAATAACAGCTTCTAGGGTTTGGAGTCTTTTTCTTGCATTGGGTGCTATAAACTATTTTGGTATTATCCATTAATATATATATATATATATATATATATATATATATATATATATATATATATATATATATATATATATATATATTAGGCAGCATATATTTTATATATAAAGAAATAATCAAACGTAGAATCAATCAACAATGTTAATGCGATTAATGGCGAAATCACTTCGCTAGTAGAAACATAATGAATGATGTGATCAAACCCAAACAAATTAACTCATACAGATGGCCATTTTTTTTAACAAATGTATTTGCATTGGCAAATCTAGGGAAATGGTTTACACACACACACACACACACACACACACACACACACACACACACACACACACACATATATATATATATATATATAGAACAATAAAAAAATATTAAAAAAATATTAAAATATTTAAAAATTAAAATCTTCAGACACACTGGGTTGTAGATTAATATTGTTTCGTTTTTTTATTATTACAGTGTAACCCGGATATAAGAGAAACCCGGATATAAGAGAGATTTTCTCTGGTCCCAAATTAGAGCCTGTGTTACCTAAACAAAATAGACCAAACCCGGATATAAGAGAAACCCGGATATAAGAGACTTCTTCTCCGGTCCCGACAACTCTCTTATATCCGGGTTACGCTGTATTTCATTTAGATTCCTCGACTCATATATATATATATATATATATATATATATATATATATATATATATATGAAAGGTCTCAATTCAATAATGTACTTTGAATCTTTGACTTCTAACTCGATGGTCAAGCCTTGTACTGAAGTCTCGGTGATTGTTGTCAGGTTTAATTTGAGAAGACATTCGCCATGTTATTGCGCAAGACATATAGATCATATTACGGAGGATAAATGTTTCTCAAGAGAAAAAGGGGAAATGAGATCCATCGTGTAAATGACTGGAACAGTGACGAGAACATGATATTATCGAGTTGTGAAAGTGAAGAAAACAAGCAAAGGCTTCTTAAATGTTGCTGTATGGACGAAATAATGTCGATGGCATGGCCGAGTAGCGTGTTTGGTTTCCTCCTGAATCAACAACGGTCCTCAGTTTCAATGCCGTTACGACATAACATTCTTCCTGGGCATATCAATATTGACAAGGAAATAAATAATAATTGAAAAAGAAATATTTACAACATCCATATATTAACTTGTTGGCGGCAAGACATTGTTAAATCTTCTGCGCATATTTTTTTTATAATGAAGTACACTCCCTAAAAAGCTCGAGTTCAAGACATGTAATGGGTTACTGTTAAAGCGGCCATGATAAAAGAGAGCTGTGTTATTATTTCACTTTTTTCTACCCAATACAAAGCCCAAGAGCCATTCAAGTTAGAGCTGCTCGGCCTGGGGGCTATGATCAAAGTGTAGTATGCTGCCTTTGTGAGCTTCCGAGTCGGTGTCTGTCGAACTCTCTGCATTAGCAGAGAGGAACCCGGACGAAGCTTTGCCGAAAGGCAAGGTTTCGTTCGGGGAGGTAGACAGGGCCTGAATCCGTCAAGGCGGGTTCAAAACGGCTATATTTTTGACCGAGCCTACGGGCTCGGGGATACCCACATTAAACCGGCCTTGTGCCACATTCTATCCTCGTGGGTGGATTAATAATACTGAGCCATTCAAGTTAGAAGAGGGCTGTCCATAGATTCAGGCGCTGAATATAACCTCAATCAACAGAGTGACAAATTGTATATATGCATTAATCCTATTAATGCCTTATCTCTGATATCGAGCACTTTGTTGCAAAGATTGTTTGCCTTAAATGGCCTTCCTTTTTGATATCCACTGACAGCATTTCTGGCTTCACATCGTCTTTCATATATATATATATATATATATATATATATATATATATATATATATGTGTGTGTGTGTGTGTGTGTGTGTGTGTGTGTGTGTGTTTGTGTATATATATAATTATTTATTTAAAAATTATAGCATAAATATGTTATAAAATCACTACAAAAAATAGCCATTTTGTTTCAACACTTTTGGTGTCTTATCACTTGATAAGACACTAGAAGTGTTGAAACAAAAATGTTATTTATATTATTTATGTTACAATTTTAAATAAATAATTATATTCGCTCTACTCTGTATTGAGCACTCTTTTAAGAATAGAAATTGTTGGTTATTGGAATTTATTCCGTATAGATCAATGAAATACTTGTATATATATATATATATATATATATATATGGAGAAATATAGTTTTAAGGTGTACAATATTTATGGGATAAAGTGCTCAATATCAGAGATAGAACGTGTGTAATTATAAAAGTAAACATTGGAGCCAATACTCTAAGGCCACAGGCTGTTTCATGCTAGACGCAATCGACAGGCTGCAAGTGTTGGGTTTTTCTCTAGAAAAAACAATACTTGTGGCCTGACGATATATTGTCATCCATAGACAGACTGTTTCGGTGTATCACAACACATCAGTGAGGCTAGAGAACCGATTTGGCAACAGTCGGCGGAGATTTAAGTCCTGGGCTATCCGGTAGAGAGGAAGGTGGATTTTTACGTACTTATTCTTCGACTAAACACGTCAATAACCGAGAGGGATCAATTCATGAAAGAGCTTTGCAGTATTATCAATAATATTCATTGTTTACAAATTCGCGCTTTCTCCCAAGAGTGCTAGACCGGAATTAAATTTTCCCGGCTCGTATATATTACATCATATTTCATATCGCTATATATATATATTGTGTATTTAGGCAGCATTTTTTCATCGATGCATGTTTCATTAAATAATATAGAGAAGTTTTGTCTATTTATTTTATGTAAATTCTTTTCATTCAAATGTAGTGTCAAGCGTCGTGAAAGTGAGTTTGTGGTGTGTCCAGCATAAATATTGTTTAATCCGTTGAAGTTTATTGTTGGACACACCACAAACGCGCTTCATGACGCTTGACTCTACATTTGAATGATAACTATAACATTTTTTAGGCATTTAAAACAACATGCCTGGCCGCATACACAATTCCGGAAAATCCTCGTTGAAAACACAGCTATACTTAAACATGAAAAGAATAAACAAAAATTTAAAATTCTTGAAACTATATATATATAAAACAGTCGAATCCCAACCTGAACATAATAAACCATGAAATCTTCACAAATATACTTAAATGCCTATAATTGATAACAGAAGCTATTGGTTTATACCAACGGCTTCCCATACTTCTCGTTTTCACAGTTGCGTTCTTATGTGTGATATCATGAGCTGCGGTGCGATTTTCGTTTCCAGCGTCTCGTATGCACGAGTTTCTCGTTGCTTCGAAATCTTCCATGCCATCAAAAACAGACTATCATTGTTGTTTTGTCCGTGTATTGTTTAATATATTGTAATGTAATTGTCATCTTTGATGATGGCATATGTAAGCCGAAAGCTTAGATTGGATTGAAAAATATGTATCAATATTGTGATTTTCTTTCTTTTTAATAATGCTGTTATTCGGCTTATCAGACGATATTAAAGGAAATTATATAAAATAAACAGACAAAACTTGTCTATATTATTTAATGAAACATGCATCAGGACATATATATATATATATATATATATATATATATATATATATATATAGTGTATATTTCAACTGAAACATTTCTTTTAAACATGTTTCGTTGAATATGACAGATTAGGAAAATTTAATTCATTTTTTATTTAGTTTTTCCAGCATTCTTTTGCTTTTTTTCTTTTGGTGGGAGGAAGGGAGTGCAAAAATTGTACATTCTGCCAATATATATATATATATATATATATATATATATATATATATATATGAGTATCTTTAGCGATGGATCGTATACATGAGTTCCGCTTGAGGTCAGGTGTATACTTGAGTCCCAATAAACGCTTAAAACGAGAATCCTCATTGAGATTCCAACCGTTCATCATGAGTAATAAAAGAGGGAGTGGTGGGAAGGGATGATTATGAGAATAAGGAGGATATATAACGATTGACCTTTGACTTGGAGAGGTTAAAATTTGAATGCTCAGGGAACATCCACGAGGGAGTCTTTTTCGCAAAGTAACAGTTCTTGGGGAGAATTTGTCTGGTTGGAACGTTCCCCTTACATATGCAACACGGAGAAAATGGTGATTCGGCTCCGTGGAAATAGCATTAAACGTTCACCCTGTACCAGGTCGGGGGCCACTCAAGGTAGAGGCTTATATCAAGGAGTAGTTTATATGGCTATGAGGGGAAGATAACGGTTAACTCTAGACTCGAACAGGTTAAGATTATAGCGATCGATGAAAGATACTCTTATAAGTCTGTTCCATAGGACAGTGGTTTGCGGGAAAAACAGCTTTTCTTGTCGATGGAATACGGAGTAAATGTGGGTGGCTTGGTACTATGTAAATAGCATGGCGGGCCCCAGCTGTGAAGGTTATACCTGGCGGAAGCAAGGAATATAGTTCGTCCGAGCACTTTCCATATTAGTAATGTGTTATGTAGTGGTTTCACAGTGGAGGCTTGTATTTGTACTAAGTCGGTCCTAAAATAGGTTCGACGTACAAAATGTTAGGAACTTAATATAATAGGTAATGACGCAGTAATCTAGTTGGGGTGGCTGATACTTTAATATCCGACTAACGACATCGACTGACTGACCAACTCCGCGACTGCTACTACTACTGCTACTTATTATAGGTGGGAGAGTCTATTAACTATAGAATAGGTGTGTTCCAGTATAACATAATGACAGAGCAGTAAGAGACTCGCCGCATCAGCCTGTGAAAGCGAGAGGTTGGAGGGTGGAAAAATAATTCTTCTCCAACAAGGACTCATAGACGTTTTTGAACTCTATCAAAAGTAGAAAATAAGGACTGGGCTGCTCCCGTCCAGATATAGCAATAATACTCCATTTTCAGTTTGATCTGTATATTCGCATTGGATTGGTTAGCGATAGACTTGCTTTGTTACTTATGAGGGAAAGAATCTTCACACTGACAAATAAAACTTAAAGTCATTTTTGAGAATACGAGCGCCATCTTGTTTTTTGTAAATCTCTTTGTAACACAAAGACGTGACAATGGCCGGTTAACATTCTTTTTATGCAGTCGTCTGCAAATAATCTTTTTAAAGGAATAGAGATTTAATTTTTTTTTTTACATGTTTCATGTTTATTTTTGCAAGGATTTCTTTTCTTTCATAAAATTCTCTCTCCTTTGTTTCAATTTAATCCAATTTTATTTGTTAAACGATACGGAATTGGGCACGTTTTTGCTCCAGGTATTTAATTAATACTGTTTTACTCGTACGCTTTGCCGAGTGACCCAGAGTAGATATTTGCCACAAACTGTGTCACTGAATATAAAATAATTTTACTTTGTACGCCATCTTGTAACTTTCTCAGATAGTGGTCACTTTATATTGAATGACCTCTAGAAAAGCAATAGCAGTTACTGGACTTGAGAAAGCAACTTTTCTGAAAAAGTTATTTGATAAAATACTGTTATAAATTCCAAGCGATATTAGTACTAGCTGCTCAGTCAATGACTGCCGAATGTTTCCTTATAAGGAAATAGATAATATTACTATTACCATTACCAATGCAACTGTTGTCTTTGTCCAAATACATATCAGGCATGAAACAATTCCTATGCTTTTAAAAACATTAAAAATATTATTTTATATAAACACTATCTTACATGACACAGCCTTGACCTACGTTCTGTATGAAATTTACTTGTCTGAGTTTTGTTATATTATAAAGATGAACGCCCGAATTCCAAACAATAGTAAAATAAAAATAAAGAACACATGGGGATGCCTTAATTACACTATTTATATACAGACTATTGTCCTCATCTTCCAGCGACTTTTCTCGGGTGTAAATCGATACGGGTAACCTACAGAGAATTCGTAGCGCTTGACTGTTCTCGTTCCATTGTCCATATCTGAAGATATATCATCTAATTCTTATTTTTATTTAATACTCTTAACTTATTTCCCGCCCTAAGGATTGAACTCACAACCACTATATCACCAAATTAACGCTTTTATCCACTAGGACAATTTGTTGTAGCGAACTTGGAGCTTTAAGTTTATTCTCCATGCTGATTAAGCTGCAGCTGCTGCTGCTGCCCATGATTTGATTGCTGTTGCTGCTGCAGTTGAAGTATTTTCATTTGACTTTTTATTTTCATTAACGGCTCCCCTATTGTATTTATTTCTATGCTAGGCCTACTAAGGAGCTCCTCATAGCTTACCATATGCGCTGATTCTTTCACACGTCAACCTCTCCAGTGTAATCTTTGTCCAGTATTTTTCACATTATTGTAATCTTTTTTAAGACAAGAAACATTGCCGGGGATGGAAGGTAGTTAAAATAATAGCTGTGTCAATTGAAAAACCGCCCTTTTTACACTCCTTTTTTTTTCGGACACGAAAGTCCAAGTTTTCCAAAATAACCGTTCAGGATAAAAATGACACACTACAGGACCAGAGGACTATTTGCAAACTTTATAATTCATTTACTGTTGTAGAGTCATCGCAAAAATCATCCTTTTTTCTCTCTGTCTCTTAGCGATTAAATGAATATAATTACGTCCGTGTTTCTTGTGAAAACCGCGTGATTTTCTTTACGATCTTTTTACAATGATTTATTTTCCAGGACCAGGATCTTATAACTTCCAGGGAATGAGTTCAGAACTCATAAAGAAGGCATATATGGAGAGCACTCGTCGCGGTGCTTTCGGTTCCACTGCTGCCCGTGATATCGTCTTCACGAACAAGGGTCAAACTGATGTGCCCGGACCTTCCCATTATCAGGTGAAGGATAAACGTTTCGAAAATGCTCACAAGAACTTCACCTCTTCGTTTGCATCGACTACTCGACGGGAAAAAGCTCAAACACCTGAGGTAGGTCTTTATTTACTGCTATAATCTGAAGAATTTTAATAACCATGAATGGCAGTTTTCAGCATGAAAGACAGAGAAATCAATAAACAAAGGCTTCGACGGAAAACATGTTGCGGTTTCAAAGACCGTACCGTTACAGAGATGTTAAATCACTGGCAGCTCAAGTACTAGTATTTTATTGGGAGGATTTTTGAACTTTTACTAAGGTGGGGGCTTTAAACGATAAAAGGCCATTAGATTAATGCACGTCCTCTAAGTTTGAGAAATGGGCCTCGTTCAGTTTTGATTTCAGATAGTTCTAGTTGTATATAAAAAGGAAAAAAGGGTACATCTATATGTAAGAACAAATTTATTTATTTGCATACATTGTAGTCCTTAGATTTTAAAAAAAAAAGATGGAATAAATATATATGAAATTTTATCAATATTATTAATGTTTATAAAATATTTTGTATTAATTAGATTTGTAGACGTAAAGTCACTGAAATCGGGTACAATTCAAAGGAAGCTGAATTGATATGAATGTAATAAAAAGAATACGGTTACAATAAAAGTCGAATTGAAAAGGTTCTTTCTTACTGTCATCAGGTACGCTTTAAAGCGAATGTGGGATTTTCTTTCCTCGGGTGCTTAAGAGTTTTGCTAAGCCCAGGAAAAACAACGTGACAGCTAGATGATCTGGTGAACATTGTGTCCTTATAAGATCGGCTCAGAGTGATGTGTTTATCTGTTTTCTTTTTAATGCTATTCATTGACTGAATAGAAGAATCATTTAATTTTGTTTTTCATTTTAATGTTGAACTGATTTTCATTATCGCATGTTGAACTCGATTTCACGATTTCTCTAACTGACGTTTAATTTCCAGGATGTTACGTGTTAGATATTACCAACGTATAAAATTCCGTTAGAGTTTAATAAACACACACACACACACACACACACACACACACACATATATATATATATATATATATATATATATATATATATATATATATATATATATGACTACATAGGTAGAACATCTCAACTCAACGTTTGGATTTCAGAATTAACAACATTTCACCCCCCCCCCGAATTTTGAATCTGGACGCTAGTGGTAGTCAGGTGGTGAATACATCCGGGTCTTCCATAGCACAGCATGCTATAAACAGTAGGGAATGTGTGTATGGTTTGAGTGTCGACCGTTTTTAACAATCTGTCTAGGTCGACACTCAATATTTCCTCTTAAAGTATTGGAATCCATTTACAATAGATTTCGTGTGCTTTCTCTCTGCAGATAGATTGCTTGTTGGGTTTGAATGTGATTGAACTCTAGTGTTTTTTTTTCCTTATTCCCGCAGTCCTCTAAGATATACCCAGAAGATAAACTTCATTGCTTACTTCCCGTCTCGTTGAAAAAAGACAGAGGCGTGTCCGAAAATTACAACTTTAAAATATTGCTCTTTGTGCTTTAGTTTAGTGAAAATGGCTAATATATAATAAATATCAGCAACCTTATAATCAATATTGTTATCAGTTTGAAGTTTTTATTGCTCAAATTTTATTAACTGGCCTATTAAATCTACACACGCACATACACACACACATATGCACGTGCGCACGCACGGATACACACACACACACACACACACACACACACACACACACACATATATATATATATATATATATATATATATATATATATATATATGAAAATTTCTCCGAGTTAACCAGTAGAGAAGACAATATTTATGAATAAAAATGACAATAGGAAAACTAGTAATTGCTGACGCGTATCAATTAAATTCATTTCGTATTTTGCTTTGACAAAGTCCACATTGGACAAAACGCGTCAGCAATTACTAGTTTTCCTATTTTCATTTTTGTCCATTTCATAATATATATATATGTGTATATATATATATATATATATATATATATATTGAAAGAGCAATATATATATATATTTATATATGTGTGTGTGTGTGTATATATATATATATATGTGTGTGTATATATATATATATATATATATATATATATATATATATATATATATACGTGCGTGTGTGTGTGTGTTTTATCAGGTCCAGAGACGGGTTTCACTACTTGCAATAGTAACGATGTATTATGTTGAGTCCCAATTAATCTGCACATTTGTTTATAAAATCTATTCTCAATATAAATATATAAGATAAATTTATATTTTATTCAGTTATATATTCACCATTATTTGCAGTCGCTTGTTGTCATTTCTCACGAAGCTCTACATTACTACGATAAGTAAGATATTATATATATATATATATATATATATATATATATATATATATATAATATTTATACATATATAATATATATATATATAATAAAATACATATAATATAATATATATTTTTATAATATACAACATATATAATGTTTATATATATAATTATAAATATGAATTGTAATTTTATATATATATAATTTTTATAATATATAATATAATATATTATGGATTCGAGAATAAAACAGCATTTACCCCCAGGATTTTGAATCCTTCTGCCAGGAATAGCCAACTAACCAATACTTCTGGCTCTGCTATTGCTGAGCATATAATAAATTGTAGGAAATGTGTGGTTAATTTTAGTGCAGACCGTTTTTTTTATTTTGATTTTGATTTTGTCTAGGTCCTACTCCAAATTTCACCTCAAGGTTCTAGAGTCCTTGTATATCAGATCCAGTGAGCCTTCCCTTTGTAAACAGAGCAAATGCTTACTGGGTCTGAATGTTATTGGACTCTAGTTTCTTGAAATTCTTCTTTTTTTTCCATTCCATACAATTCGTTATTTTAATTTTAATTTACACGCTTTTTAAATTTTCTATTCCCAGAAAAATAAACTTCATAAGTCCTGGGACGAAACCAGTTCTGTTTTTTTTTGTTTTGTTTTTTTTTAGCTTTTCTTTTAAAAAATGCCTCATAAATTTTGTCTTTTCCTATCTATTATTAAATTCTGTACCACAAAAAACTTATTTAAATATATGACTTAATATATAAGTTCTACGTTTAGTGTCAAATTCTGCTGGTTTTGTTGTGAAAAATTGTGTATTTTCTAAAAGAATCTAACTTTAATTGGAGAAAGTTTTCTCCATAGAAGCTTTTCGCAGCGACCGAATAAGGTAAAAATCGGTTCGTGAAAAAAACTGCTAAATTTCGTAGAGGGTGGGGGGGTTCCGTTTCCTGTATTATTATTCTTACTGTATGTTGTGTAATCATGGGGAAGTACAACAGTTTGCCTATTAAAGAGCGAGTTCTAAATGAATAATACTTGGATAATCCCACCACAGACACACAATTACCATTCCTCTAAAGAACACAGCTTTTGTGGTCTGTAGTGGAGTTTCGCTCTGAACATTGTTGTATGCAACCCACTTTTCATCGGTTAGTTAAAATGATACATTTGTTATTATAATCAGTTCCCCCAAAACGAAAATTACTTGTAGCTCAACTTAATAATGAGTACATGTACAAAAATAAAATTTTCGGCAAACGCATTAAATGATAGTTTTTTTTTTTTAGTAATTCATAACATTGTTAAAGGCAATTCATACATTTTAATTTAGGCATTTATATAATTTCATAGAGGACGTATTTTACGGAGCAGTTTCTTCTGGATTCTATGCATATTTATGGGAAATTATATTGGGCGTTGTTTTTATTACCTGACACTATGAAGTAACATTTTTATATAAAGTTTTTTTTTTTTTCGTATTTGTCATTTATTCATCAAAAGCAATCCCTTTCTTTTCAAAACCATCTGTTCTGTCTCCATCACCGTTTTATAATTTTCCGTATGAGAAATAAATCTATTTAGCTGACTTTCTTTACCTCGAGCACTAACGTTGTTTCAAATGACAAACTTAGGCTACCGTGTTTTAACTGATCTGTATTTTGTGTGTGTGTGTGTGTGTGAGCGTAGGCGAAAGGCAGAGAAAGACAGAGACAGTGACAGAGACAGAGAAATGAAGTGAGAGAGGATGAGAGAGATTGAGACAGTGGGGAGAGAGTGAGAGAGAGCGAAAGAGAGAAAGAATGAGCGAGTGAGAAAGAGAGAGAAAAAGAAAGATTGAGAGTGAGAGAAAGATGGGAAGAGAGAGGTAGTGGGAGAGACAGAGAGAGAGAAAGAAAAGGATCCACCTCCAGAGTAAAATAAAGTAAAAAGTTAATTCAACAAATTTTTTTATCATTATATAGTGAATCTTAAACTAGTGTGCCGTACGATCCTCTTAAGTGTTCCGTGAAATATTGTCACACACTATATATATATATATATATATATATATATATATATATATATATATATATATATATATATATATATGTATATATATATATATATATATATATATATATATATATATACGTGCATGTGTGCATGTGTGTGTATATCGTAGTCATGGCACAACATTAGTGTTTGAATAAATTAATAAGTATAAAACTTTTTCCAAATAATTATTTTCCCTGTACTTCCTTTATTTTTTTATTTTAAATACTAAATAAACAAGACAAATAGTTGAATAGAAACATTGAAATAAAGTAAGTTCATATTTGTGTGTGTATTTAAAAAAATATCTATGGTTTTATTTCATAACATTTAAATGTATACCGTTTAAATATGTTGCTAAGTGTGCGGTGATATTTTCATTTGCTCCAAGGTGTGCCTTTGCTTAAAAAGGTTGAGAAACACTGGCTTAATGTATTTGGAGTTTATTTCACTGATTTGCATTTTGTGTGATATATATATATATATATATATATATATAGATAGATAGATAGATAGATAGATAGATAGATAGATAGATAGATAAACCTGGTGAGCCAGACAAACCTACCCAGGTTTCACCTAAGCAGATCGTCAGGGAAAGCTGGTTTTGTTAGTTGTTTACTCGTATCGGGGTTTTTTCTTTGGGCTTCAAACCTGTATCTGTGCGATTTTTTTCGACAGATTTTCATGTTTCTAGTTCTTTCTTTTTTTAAAACCTTTTTTTTCCTCAA